GTTATTAATTTCTTACCCAATGAGAATCTATTCGCCATTTGACAGGCGGTGAACATGCAGCGCCGAGTATGCCACGCCTTCCTAAAATACCAAACTAAGCTGTAATTGCAGCCCGGAGGACCGGGCTGCTCTATACATATAAGTTTAAGTGTTGGTGTATGGGGATTGGGGTGGGAGTAGTTATGTAAAATTAAAGGTTTTCTAAACATTGAAAAGATAGTTAATCAGAATGTTCTTTCCGTTTATAAATTAAGAGATACATAATATATTTACTTCCATAAAGTGAATCTGTAAAAATATATATGTTTTTCATATTTAAAATATAAAGTTACTTATCATTTACTATCGAAACAACGACACGTCCCTTTTTTTAGAACATCGAATTTTACTTCTCGGATAAAAACGTACTCTGCACAGTTCGTGTATTATATTCTAAAATTGAAAAATTAATACATTTTTAGATATAAATGATGAGTGTGTCTAACTTCAATTTATATTTTATGCAGCCAACATTTACTTGAGGAAATGATAAAGTTTAAAATGGTATCGTTTTTAATTTGTTTTTATACGACTACAAGTTTTTTTTTTTTTTAAATATTTGCGACTATCGTCTCCATCAATTAGACGCATGCCTTTTTACACATATCGAAGCGATTTGTTGATCAAGATTCATTTTCGTTGTTTACTTTATATATTTCCCGGGCGACAATTGATGGTTACATCAATGTTTTCTTGTTGGTTCTTTATTTGCAGCTTGCCATCGGCAAGTGGTGGCATTTCCAGTAAAATAAAATATGGAGAGGGGCGTTAAACATTATTCAATCCATCTGCATTTTACTAAATGACAGTGTCTTTGTATTGACAATTGAACTTGAAAAATTATGGCTTGAAATTAGAATGTTGATATTCCTGTCTCTTCAACTTAATTATTTAAGTAAAAAATAGGTTACTATAACGTTATATAAAGTTACCCTTCTTATAAATAGTTGAACCAGAAGTCAACACTCAATTTCGACTATTAAACAAAACACAAATGAGACGGTTTTAATTGTAATTCATATTTATTTTTGGCTTTTTTTTTCGATTTCAAATTTTTCAGTGAAATGTGTTTTTTTATTATTATTTCATAATCCTATTCATTCACAAAAAATAAACCAACTAGAATCTATGTTACCTCGATAATAGTAAGGGATATAAACACTAATAGGATTTAATTGTACTCACCAAGACAATCTCCGCCTGGACTTCGGTAAAAGTTATAACAGCATCTGTAAAAATTTAAATAAAAATTCCAGAAGAAGATCTTATACCTAAATATCAATTATAATTACTCACATTCTGTAAATAGGGTGAATAAACATTTTAAAAAGCAATCAATAACCAACTTGTCTCCACATAATCCACTACAAACAGTTTTTGCAAAAAGTTGAAGGACAATTAAATGACACGGTATCCATCCTTTGATTTTTATCATATTCATACTAAAACGAATTTGGCATCTATGGGAAAATCATTTACATTGGCAAAAAATACCATATTTAGATTTAAATATACTAACTCTCACGTTCAATCTTCCTGTTTTTTTCTCTTCCTTTGTTATTGAAAATGCAGAGCACTGCGTTTCCATTCGTACGTGCTTAGTTACATGTTACCAGTGAACATATTTATGGTCAAGGAAGTGAATATGTGAAAAGTATCCGTTAAGCCTTAATGATTTTCGGAAAACAAAATTCTGAATTAGTTTCAGTCCAGTGCAAAGGATATCTGAAAACACACCTGGGAAAATAAAAAAAAGGCTAGCTCTCATTGTATTGTTATGTACATATACCTCTTGCCATCACCTAGATCTGTCAAAAAAGACTAATGTCTACATATGGGATAAAGTTTCATGCTATATTTCTTTATTCATAAGTCTTCATTTGAAATAATGTTAAATCTTTTTTCTAATTCTATATTTGCTCCTTTCCATTGCTGTACTATTGATATAAGACATTAAACACAACTTGAAGACGTATTTTATATTTACAAGATATAACCAGTATAGTCGTCCTCTAGATCTGTTTCTAATTTAAATATTTTTTAAGAGTTCCTATCAAAATTAATCGGACAATTCGCCCTTGTGATGCAGCAGTTTGGGCGTCTGCTCTAGAAAAGTGGAGTAAGGAGCAAACTCCCTTAAGGTCATTGGCAACCACGGGTTTCCGGAGAATAAAGGTTTATACCCAGGTTTTTTTCGTTTATAAAAATAGTCATTGAGAGTGATCTCCCGTATGGAATTCTCTAGGCGGTGAAAACCAATTAAGCGTGTGTTACAGACTAAGAGGTAAACAAAAGCACGTGTGTGTTTTTTATCTGATATATTCCACTCTACAGTAATGAAAGAATAGCAGAGATGGGTTTGTTTAAATTGTGCAGACGGGGCAGACAGTCAACAGGTCGTCATTTAGAATAAGTACATGTATGCTGGGAAGTGCAAAGAAGTGACATAATTATGCTGAAAGTGGTGATAGCTAGGTAGAACAGATGAGAACGAGTCTATAGGTTTTGTGAAGGAGGCATCATTAAAAGTAATATTAAATCCTTGCCAAAATGTTGAATGACAGTTCCTTTCAAATAAAGTAAATTATAGTATAGAACAAACAACCAGTCTCTTGATCATTATGAATAATAATTAGATGTTAAGGGAAGTAACTCAGAATCAAAGAACAGTGCTGGTATTTCTGTGCTTTGTTTCTACATTTGCAATTTTAGCCAAAGCATACGTTTGTCACCAGAAATGAAGATTCAACAATGTATTTTATGTGTAAACTCTATGAAATAAATGGGTTTTAGAAAAAAACTTATGGTTAAAAATAATAAAGGACCATTTTATCAATATTTTACATAGGAAATGCATTGAGAATTGTAAAAATATTGCTTTGACAAAATCTTTAAAGGAAGGCTGGCTTCATGGATAAAAAGGACCTGAGTCGAACATGTTTGGTACCATTAAACCTGTTCAGAAGTTCTTGAAAAATTCTATACAAAATCCAGAAACGTTGCCAATGTCCTTAAGTCGCTGTTCGAATTACTAGTAAACTGTTCCGTTGGATGTGACCGTATTAACAGTCAATCCGTGTGACGGTAAGTGTTGTCTCAAAAAGAACACTAAGTGCTAAATGACCCGAAGTAGCAAGCATCCGTATTAAGCAGCTCTGTATTGGCATGTGGTGCCATGTCCATATGATTTTTTTTAGAAGGGCTTTAAACTTTAAGAAGACTTACTTGACATCTTACTGGACAAAGCTTTTATACTGAGAATAGTGAAAGGTTGGTTTGTATAAACGTTGTCTATGGAAAGTACTTTATATTTGAGAAACTAAACATTAAGATTCACGGAATTAGAGTCGTTTGAGCCATAGATTTGAAATTAAAAATGGGGAACTTTAACATTTTTATCGACATTTCAATTCGCATGGCCTATCTTTTCTTTAACTGAACTTAGAATCTTAGAACAAATGCATTATCGATATAATAAATAGTTGCCTTATGTGGGTTGATCCAATTTGCAATTGGATTGTGGCGTTTATTTTCTTTTATACCACCTTTTTAATGGCAGACATACCAGTGTCTGCTAAGTATATGCTATATTTAATTTTAGGGGGTCAGTTTGCATAAAACGATAACAAAGATTTTTGTGTTCTTTCGAAATTTTTCTAGTCTTGTCTGTTTTTGTTGTAAGTTGTTGTTTTGCGTCATTTACTTCAATAAATGACATCTTTTTACTTCATTACTGTTGTTATTTTCATTTAATCAATCAAAAAACAAGCTCAGTTGACTTGGCGTCGGTCTTGCATTAATAACAAAGGAACATAAATAAATTATCATTTTTTACAATAAAAATATCCTTTATGTTACAGAGGTAAAAGAACTGTAATTGATTTTTTTTAAATAATTTAACATTTAAAATTCAATAATTTAAATTTAATTATATTAAAATGCTATTAAAATAATTTAATTAATGTGACATGTTTTTATTTGGTAATTGTAGTAAAATTCTCTGGTGTTTGCAAACTATTTAAAACGGGATAAATTGAATATTTTTAATCTATTACACATTTGTCTTACTTTAGAGCCAATCAGCGTGACTTCTTCCAATCACTTGATCATTATTTTTATTTGCCAGAGGAGAAAATCACGCTGAATTGCAAGGGAAGATTAAGTCGAAAAAACCCTCATTCCACCCCTTTCTACGATCGTCTTATATTATATTTGTTATACATGTATTAGTGTTCATACTTCTTTGTTTGGCATTTAACTTCTTTTATCCCACCCGTTTTTGATGACAGGCATATCAGTGCCTGCTTTATGCTATATTTAATTTTAGGGGGTCAGATTGCATAATATGATACCAAAGATTTTTGTGTTCTTTCGAGGTTTTTCTAGTCTTGCCTGACCCCCTTATTATGTTTATTTTTTGTTTTGTGTCATTTACTTCAATAAATGACATTATTTTATTTTCATTTCTGTTGTTATTTTCTTCTAATGGTATATCCATCAATTACTATATCAGTTGACTTGGCTTCATTCTTGCATTAATAATAAAGAACATAAATATTCTTTGAGTTTTCCATTCCGTTGAAACAAGATCAATACTAGATCGAGAGACGGTGCAACATTTTTCATTATAGTTGCAACGACAACATAGAAAGTGAATATTCAATGTGGTTGGACTTTTTAAAAGTATTGGACGGTAGCAAATAAATAACCCTATTTTTATTCTCCCTACTCGGTATTTTTGTTAATTTTGACTATTTGAAGAAGCTAAAACGAGGCAATATAAACATTCTGTCAAGGCAATATACAAGCTTTTTTTAGAATAAAGAATGCAGTATCTTTAAACCACTATGTGTCGAAAAATAAATTCTGCCTTAAACTTCAAACTGCTCACGAAGAAAAACAAAATAGAATATGTGAACATTATTTTCAATTCATTCCTAATCATGAAGAATATGGAGATAATGAACAGTACTTAATATAAAAGACCATAAAACAAAACAGGAGTAGAGAGGAAGGATATGGAGATAACGAACAGTATTCAATATCAAAGTCCATAAAACAGTACAAAATAGGAGCTGAGCAAACACGGACCTCCAAAACATCTGAGGTGGGATCAGGTGCCATGGAAAAGTGAGCATCCCCTGCTGACCGGTCACACCCACCATCTGTCATGATCGGGAAATAACGGAAAAATCCGTCGTCAATTCATTGTAAAAAATGGACTCACAATTTGTTTGAAAAACGTCAGTCAGCATTTGACTTGATGATAAATTGTATTTGCTGACACGTTCATTGTATCGACAATACTGTATAGGGGATTAATTTCACGGGTTGTAATTTTCACAGTTTTCTCTCATCGGACACGATCGTGGTTTCTTGAATTCGCGGAATTCTTATGTTATAGAAGTTACCTCCCTTGTCTATATCCGTTTAATCCATACCATAGCTACATGTAAACGACTTTTATTAGCGTTATGTCTTTATTTCAATTTTAGTTATTTTAATAAAATCAGGTGCAGTTATCAAAAGTCCTTGACTATAAGCGTCAAATGACTTTTCTGTATTTTATTACAATGAGAGCATGAACATCCCAAGATCTTTAAATAAACGCGGCGAAAAAAAACACTGGACGGTAATAAATGTGTTAATGTAGGTCGACGAAATAATATCCTTCCAAATCTTCAGTAAGTTGGATAGTTATTTGAATGATTTTTTTTAGATCAGAATGTCGATAAAAACTATAATATGCATGATAATGCAGGTAACAAATACACCGTGCGTGGTAACATTAGTTACGCACGGGTAATCAAAACTTATGGCCCACGTGTTTTGATTGATGAAATATGTTGCGTTGGCTATTAAAAAGCCTTTTATCAAATACAGGTTATTATCTATAGATGTAAGCGTGCTAATTAAAATAATTGACTGACAAGTACTACTCGTAATTACTGAAACGACCATGTACTGTGGTACATGTATTTAAACCTATCGTAGTCTATTCTCGAATTTCCAAATAAAACATGGAGATTATTGAAAAATTATTCACTGTTTCTTGAATTCACGGATTTATTATCACCGTGAATATAGCGAATATTAACACCGCGAGTTATTTTCCCCCTATACAGTAGTACTTACGAAATGATGACTTTAAACGATACTGCTGATCGCAGCATTGTTAAAGCTAAAATAAGGAGGCGGGGCCTAATTTATTGTTTACTGTTAGTTTACTGTGACGTCACACTGAAATTTGACTTTTATGTATTCCTCATAATACCAGAAAATGAAATAATTTGCAATTTAAACTGCATTATAATAAACAATAATAAAACTTATCAATGCATTTAAAAAAGTTGCCGGTTAAATCCCATACAGCTGGTTATAAACGGATCATTGATCTCGATAAACTTGTCAATCATGACGTCATCTTTTGGGGGAAATGAGGTATTTCATGTGCTGTG